ACCCAATGCCATGCCATGTCTATCTAACACTCAACTCTAATGTAATGCCCATGGCTCAATGCTTTGCAATCCTGGCATTTGTAGTTTGGTGAGGCATCAGCATTCCTAGGCAGAGGAGTGCAAAGACAAGATGGAGCTGGAGATGCTGTTGTGCCCCTCTCTGCTTCCACAGCCAAGAGCAGAAGGCATTCGTGTGCGATGGAGACATGCTGATGTCCTCATTTCTGGATCCTAAGAAAGCGGAACGGGGCCAACCTGAGATGGCCTTCCTGCCTGGGTAATTAGCCGGGAATGGGACCTCTCTGATGCATTTGTGGTTTCTTGTCCCTGTTTTGTTCAAAAGGGTTTAATCTCAGACACAAACACGGAGGCATGACTAACCAGGGCAAGAGCAAGATCAAGCGAGGGAGGGAGGATTGCTGCCAGTGTAAACACGAGGAAGAGGCAGACCAATAACTAACCCCATTAAAAGGACCTGGAACCACAAACCACAGAAGGAGGGAAACGAGAGAAAACGAAGCCACCGTCGCCACCGCTCGCTCGCTCGCTCACTCGGCATAAGTGGGAGCATTTCAGAACTCTCCCTGTTGCTCCGAGCAGGAAAACCTACTTACCGAGCTGACAATTTATTGCTACAGTAATTACACAATTACTTTATTACATGCCACCAGTGTGAAGAAATATATATATTCAGGGGGAGAAAATCACTTATGACTAAACCCGAACCATCCGAAAGAGAATTATCGAGGACAGTAAATAACAATGACACCAAATAGTATTTTCTTGTGTGAATGCTGGCAAGTCGGGTGGTTTTCGGAAAGGCACAAACGCAGAGAGAAAGGAAAATAATGTCGAGGCCTTTGGTCATTTCATGTGTTGTATTATTACTATTATATAAAAACTGAACCAGAGAGAAAAGGAATCTTATTTACTGGGTTGTTGTAGGTTTTCCAGGCTGTCTGGCCATGTTCCAGAAGCACCACATTGGGAGGGAAAGCCAAGACTCCAAAGGGCAGGAGCAGGACTCAAAGGGATCTTGACAGATTAGAGAGATGATGGGCCAAAACTCACACAATGAAGTTCAACAGGGACAAAGGCAAGAGACTCCACTTAGGCAGGAAAAAGTAAATGCAAAGAGACAGAATGGGGGACAAAAAAAGCCAATGGGATTTTGTCCTGCATCAAGAGGAGCCTAGTGTCTAGATCTGGGAAGTCATGCTCCCCATGCTCTATTCTGCCTTGGTTAGACCACTTTACCGGGAATATGGTGTCCAATTCTGGGCACCACAATTGAAGAGAGATATTGACAAGCTGGAATGTGTCCAGAGGAGGGCGACTCAAATGATCAAGGGTCTGGAGAACAAGCCCTATGAGGAGCGGCTTAAGGAGCTGGGCATGTTTAGCCTGAGGAAGAGAAGGCTGAGAGGAGACATGATAGCCGTGTATAAATATGTGAGAGGAAGCCACAGGGAGGAGGAGGGAGCAAGCTTGTTTTCTGCTTCCCTGAAGACTAGGACGCAAGGGAACAATAGCTTCAAACTCCAAGAGAGGAGATTCCATCTGAACACAAGGAAGAACTTCCTGACTGTGAGAGCCGTTCAGCAGTGGAACTCTCTGCCCTGGAGTGTGGTGGAGGCTCCTTCTTTGGAAGCTTTTAAACAGAGGCTGGATGGCCATCTGTCAGGGGTGCTTTGAATGCAATATTCCTGCTTCTTGGCAGAATGGGGTTGGACTGGATGATGGCCCAGGAGGTCTCTTCCAACTCTAGGATTCTATGATTCCTGACATTTTTCCCACATCTATGGCAGGCATCCTCAGAGTTTGTGAGGTCTGTTGGAAACTGATGTCTGTGGTGGAGTCTCCATTGGCTTGTAAGGATTCTCCATTGTCCCGTGAAGCCCAGTTGAGGTGGTTCAGTTCCCCTTGGAGGAGGTGGGGTTCACACAGGGGAACTCCAGACAAGAAACAATCAGGGACAGCTAATCACCTCTCAAGAAAGGATTCCCCCAGGCAGTAACAAGCCACACCTAAAAACTGTCAGGCCATCAAGGTGGCCAATTGAAACATTCACACCTACCTCCACCAGACAAAAGTTCTTTCTCCCACCCTGGATATCATTCCACAGATATATAAATACATTTTTCCTAGTTTCCAACAAACCTCCCAACGTCTGGGGATGCTTAGCATAGATGCAGGTGAAATGTCAGGAGAGAATGCTTCTAGAACATGGCCAGACAGCCCAAAATCATAGAATACTAGAATCAAAGAGTTGGAAGAGACCTCACGGGCCATCCAGTCCAACCCCATTCTGCCAAGAAGCAGGAATGTTGCATTCAAATCACCCCTGCCAGATGGCCATCCAGCCTCTGCTTAAAAGCTTCCAAAGAAGGAGCCTCCACCACACTCCAGAGCAGAGAGTTCCACTGCTGAATGGCTCTCACAGTCAGGAAGTTCTTCCTCATGTTCAGGTGGAATCTCCTCTCTTGTAGTTTGAAGCCATTGTTCCATTGCGTCCTAGTCTCCAGGGAAGCAGAAAACCTACAACAACCAAGTGATTAGTCTGAAGGCCAAAGGAAACATCTACAATGTTCAATGATTATCATCGTATAGGTTGTGATTATTCAGAAAGTGGCAAAAGAGAGAGGGAGGCCATTCTTCCTGGGGCGAAATGAGGGGTCCAAATGGAAACCTGCCCCAAACATGGAGAAAAGGGAGCCCAACCCATCCGTCCTCATTCTCTCGAAGGGAAGACAGTGCAAGGCTGTGCAGAATTGCATTACGGTTGTTGTTATTATGAGGATGATGATGATGTCAAGGCTGTGGAATTGGAGGAGGGGATCTAATTGCTGCCTCTTCCCCCGAGAGAATCCCTCCGGTCCCAGACACTAATTGCTAATAAATGGTTCTGCCGAGAAGCTTTTCTTCTGGCCAAGGAGGAGGAGGAGGAATCACAGAGGGAGGGACGTGGGAAGAAGTCCCTGCGCATTTCGCTTTCATTCCGATGCTGCTCGTTTGGCCATCACCCCTCGGCCACAAAGGCCGGCCTGCCCTTCCCCAAGAAAGGGGCCCCAAAATGCACAAAGGGGTATGGGGGGGGGGAGAGGCATATCAAGAAGGGGAGATATTGATTTGGTGAACCAAATACAGTGATCCCTCGCTACTTCGTAGTTCACTTTTTGTGGATTCGCTGTTTCGCGGTTTGTCAATAAACATGAATTTAAAATATGTACCCATTATCTGTGGAGACCCCCATGTGGATTTGGTGGTCATGGTTGGTTAAAATCATCCCCTCCGATGCCATGTTTTCCAGTACAGCCACCGCACTGGCAGGGGTCACAAAGTGGAG